ATAAGGAAATATGAATTTTTATTTTCAAATATTATAATCCTGCGTTTCACGCGGGTCAAAAATCTAGTTATTAAAGCATAAGAAAAGACGAAAGGATCCTAAAATGGAAAAATGTTTGGTATCTACAACAAGTATAGCCCATAACATGGCTACACATCCCAACTAAATTAATGTCACTTTAACTACACCAAGTAACGGATAAGCATAGTGACATACACGAACAAACATAAATTATGGTGTTGATATATACGATATTTTATCCGTTTTTCTATTTTTTTAATATGTATTTAATAAAGAAATGAATGGTTTTTTATTTAACATGCTACTTTTAGCATTTTTATGGGTTTTGAAGTCAATACATGCTTTTAGAGCTTTTTGTACCTAAAAGAAGTGAAATCAAGCATTTTCAAGGAAGGACAAATCATGCCCATCAAATATTTTACCCCAAATGAAGGAGTTCTCACCGTTAGATCAATCTCATATTTTACCACGAGATAGAAGATGATCTCATCTTCAAAACAAATATTTGATTGCCCCAATCGGCGGTTAGATCGTGAGATATCTTCAATTTAAGGAAATTGTTCGAGCAAGGATCAAGCAAAAGGCAGTTCAGTATATTCACCCATTATCGACCGATCATCATAGGCAATCGACTGATCGCGAACCCACTGTTTTTTACGGACAGATGCTTTAACACGGTGATCGACCGATCACAGGAGGTGATCGACCGATCACAAGAGGTGATCGATCAATCCCCACACCCGAAAAGATTGAGTATTTTCCTTTTTTGAAGATTTTCTCCTAAATCCTTTGGAAAAAGCCCTAGCCGACTTCTAAGCCTATAAAAGGAGACTCATCAGCCTCAAGAAGAGGGGATCACACACACCCACGTTCACCACCATCACCACTACAAAATTTTTTGGTTCTTCCTTAGTTCTAAGGCATTAATCTCTTTTACTTGTTTCCTTTGCTTTTGGGAGAAGGATTCTCACCTCTTTGTAACCCTTGGAGAAATTTATTGATCCTTTACTACTATTCTTAATACAATGAGTTTATCTATTACTTTTGCTTTGATTTACTTCATGAGTAGTTTCATTGTTGGATTCTAGGGAAATCAATTTGAAGAGTTTTCATGGTTCGATAAATAGGATTTATGAACTAGGGTGGCACTTTTGTTAGGTTTAGAGTACTCCTTCATCTTGATCCGTGTTTGATATATGTTTTAGGGCTTGATCACCTTGAAACTGATCTTAGATAACGTATAGAGTTCTAACCGTTTCATTACTTGTCTGAAAAAGATGTTTAATGAGTTTGATTCTTTACGAAGACGAGAGTTAGACCTTTAAGATTGAATGAACAATTGAACATGTTTGCAATTGCATTAGATCTTAGTCTTTACCGCTGCGAGAGTAGAATGATAAGACAAGCTCGAATTAGTAACTAAGATCGTGAGAGCATGACTCTTTTGACATGCGTTCATGTTCTAGGGGGAAAATCGTATCAATTATCTCTGCCATTCCTAGTGCTATTAGAAAATCTCGAGCTTAAATTCATCTTCCATGAAATATATAAACAACTAGATACAATAATTAGTTTTTTCACTTGTCCCACAAATTTATCAAACTAATTGTTCAAAACTTCTATCCAAATTAAGCTCCAACAAAGTATAAATAGAAGAAATCTCACCTGATTGAATGCTCACTTCACAAATCTTTTTCTTGCACGAACAAAACTCCTGTTCTATTCTTCCTCATCCCTAATTGTGAAAAAATCTAGTTGGTTGGGAAGAATTGCAATTTTTATCGAAAGAAGATGCAGTCTGGGTCGGATCGGGTGGTTTGCCATTTGAACTTAATTTTGTATTGTATTAGGCTGGGTTAAAAATTCACTCAATTTGTCTTAGGTATTAGTTCTAATTGGATCAGTCACATTTAACAATTTTGTTAAATAATAATTGATAAATTAATGATTATGGTGGTGATACTTTTATGTTTGTTTGTGTATGTCACCATGTTTATCCATTATTTGATGTAGTTAAAGTGACATTAATTTAGTTGGAATGTGTAGTCATATAACAGGCTATACTTGGTGTAG